ATACCTTGCTCTAGATATCATAATCAAGAGCCAATTAAATCAAAATCTTTGCTACTTGACCTTTAGGATTTGTCAAATCTTCAGCCACCCAAGTGTTTGGCCTCTAACAGTAACCCACACAATGACCAAATAAGACCTTCTCAAAGGTAGGATTCTTACTTGTACTAGCAAGTTTTGTTTCTAAAACAAAAAGACCAAAAGTTCTTGCCGAATGTTATTTTTGTTTGACAAAAAAATTTATTTTTCTTTTCTTATTTTATGAAATGGTTAAGAAGTAGCTGGAGGCTTGGAGTTTTAGTTTGCCAATATAATATATTTATATAGCCAAACTAAGTTGTAACCTGAAATACACTAATTGTATTTTAATTCAATTAAGTCTTTGTTAACTTAATTAATTTCTCACTTTATTTTGGTCTCTTTCAATTAAGTCCAACTTAATTAATTATCCTTATTTAATCCCAATCATGTCACTTAATATGTGTGACCCATTAAGCTTCTAACATGTTAGCAATAAATATAAATCCTAATCAAATATCAATTTGATAATTAATTTATATTTATAGATCATAAATGGCATCTAACAATACATCATGACCACCCAAATGTTAAAAAGTCTATTAAAGAATTTGACAAAGCCCTTCAGTGATAAGCCTTTTAGTGCAATATTGTCATTTAATCAAATATCCCGGATATGTCATTAAGCATGGCTTGGGGTCTACTTATAACAGTCCATATTAGTTTTCATAATTCATGACTAACTTTATGAATTTAGGAAACTAACTTTCTATAACGACCTCTTCCCCCATCGTTACCGGCATTCGAGACTTGCGAGTGAACCCGCCAAATCCCAAACAAGCTTTAGTTATGATTCTGAACAATTTAAAATCAACTTGCAATATTAATGCTATAGTTTACTTAAACCAAATAAACACAATATTTAAAACATGGCATCTAGATACTAATAACCAGGTTTGATAACTCCACAACAATTTCAACATAATAAGTGTTAATCATTACATAACCTCAAGTTTTAGCAAATACATTTTCAATAAACTATTAATCATTATAAGTCTAACTATTCAACACAACACAACCTCTAGGCACCGGAGCGACTTAGAATAGAAGTCTAAGAGATGCCATTACCTACATTGCAGCTAGTCTCAATGTGCTGAGCGATGCACTTAAATTGATTACTTATTTGCAAAAGGAAAAAAAAAGGTGAGTCTCCCAGACTCAGTGATCATCAACTCTGTGAGTAGGGCGTAGATGGGAAATAAGCTAAATGCAGAAGATTTGATTATTAAAAATATAAGGATATATGTAAACAATTTAACTCAAAAAGGGAGGTTTGTGCTTTATTTATAAAACCAGAAAGTTAATGCAAGATAATCATTTAAATCAGATATCAAACCAATACATGTAAAGATCCCTGCCATCGAAATCATATAACAACCAACTTAAAGCAATTTAATATCGTCACATGTGCCCCCGTAAAATCCAACATTAGCAAAGCTTATATGCAAATTCATAAATCACCTCATACACGAGGAGTTAAATCCAATATCATCATATAATTAGGGGAGCTACGGAAAAATTGTTATTTCTCACCATGCGAAAAAATACGTACGTGAAAACCCAAAGAAATATCACTCTCGAGTAGGTATAGAAATAAAAAACACGTGGACCCACTTCCACGCAATAACATATGGGAGCTCCACTCCACCGAATCTCCACATGCCATGGCAGTCTCAACGATGTTGGCCGACATTAGAGAAATCAGACAGTCGCAACCACGTATCACAACTTGTGGCCTAGCCACGTACAATCACAGACCATGGCCCCAACCATGTCTAACAGCTCGTTGGCAACCCAAAGATTCTCTAGCTAGAGCTCACTTGTACACAAGGGTCACACTTAATTAAAGCGACAACCGACCCACTCTCGAATCTTTCAGTTTGATAAAACCA